GGCAAGACGGTTGGGCAAATTTTTTATGAGACCAAACTTGAATTTATATGTCATTTACTGTTTATGTAAAATAAAATGCCCATAATAAATTATTGTACTTTGTATTTTGAACTGAGTCTTAGATAGCGTAATGATGACTTGACTTTCACGTTGGCATTGTGTATTAAATATGGATCATTGATCTTTAGAGATTCAATTTTGACCATTACTTTTTGCTGACACCTTGAACAATATATGGTACAAATGAATGAATCTATCTTGAACAGTGTACATATGAGCAATGTGTGTTAAATGTGAATCGTTGATATGTGGGGATTAAATTTTGATCTTTACTTTTTGCTGACACCTTGTTGTATATAATACAAAGGAATCTTATCCTGAACAATATTTCGATGTTGGTCTTGAACAATGTAAATATTGGGCAGTGTACATTAGTGTGTAATATAGAAGAGTCTTATCTTGAACAATATTCCATGCATCCCTAGGTTGGTTTTGGATAGTGCTGATCACATCTTGATTGTTGATGTTTCAGAATATAATATTGACTATTAATTTTTTGCTGAGATATTGGACAACGTGTCTTAGTGTGTGGTACAAAGGAGTTTTCTTGTGTTTAACTTTTAATATTAAATAATTAGATATAAATATTTTATAAAATAACATTTGATAATTTTTCTTATTATTTGAAATTTAGTTAATTTTGTTATATTTTAAGAATTTGATAAATATATTACAAAAAATATAGTACACTTAAAATATATTAAAAAAAGTTAATCTACCTTTAAGAAAAAGTTAAAGTACAATTATTATGCATTACACAAAAGTTTTCAGAAAAGTTAAACTAGTTTCCATAATGATTACTAGTTCCACAATAAAGACGTCGTCTATTACGTTGTTGATTTGTTCTTTGATATTCTTCTTGGGGTGATCCTTCTTGCAGTGATTGTTGTTCAAGTGGTTCATGGGGAAGGAAGACAAAGAAACTAGTTCCTTAATGATAATATTGTGGTGGGTAGATTGATTGCATATAATCATGGGTAGATGGTGTTATAGGATTTTCGCCAAATAAATTTGAGAAAAAATCAATTGAACTTGATACAAAAGAAAGTCAAGTAGGATCCATTGGCGGTTGTGGTGGTGTCCAGTAGGAAGTATTTGTGAATGATTGGTGTAAAAAGACATATGAAATGACGGTATAGTGAATGAGCCAATTTCAAATGTACGTGATTGACTGTATGTATGTTGTTGGTTTCTTAGATCTTGAAGTAGTTCTAGCACAAACAATAAATAAATGGAATTAGCAGTGTACCATTCCATGCATTCTCTTGTGTGATAGAAAGACCCTTGTAATGGTAGACTTGGTAGTACAAAACCTCGTTTGTTGTTCCATATATTGATCCATTCGACATGTCTTATTTGCCAATTTTCATCATGTATCCCCCGCATGTCAATTTTGTGGAGGTTGTCTAAATTTTGCGGTGGAGAAGAGACTTCCTGAAATAAACCAAATTGAAACTTGACTCGATCAGACTGATGTCACTCCACAATTGCAAAACAAATTATGACTGTGCAAGATGTCCACAAATGTGAATCCTAGTATGTTTGTGTCGGTACTATTGATGTTTCTAACCCTCGATATGGTGTTCACAAAAACTATAACGAAGTTATGAGTAAGTAGTTAGTAAAATTAATTTAAAACATATGTTTAACAATAAAAGTGTCAACTGAGTTCACCTGATAAGGTTGAATATGATCAATCCTTACTCGGTATCCAACCATATCATTGTGTGGTACGTTCTGAAAGTTTAAAACCTCGTCCCCACTCCATTTGTACACTGATGGATACGTTGGTTGTAAACGACTAATTGGTGCAATATGTGGCATGCGATGCCATGCCCATGATTGTAATAGTGAAGCACAACCTCCCATTGTTTTTGTCCTGACATCGGTTGCTTTACACATTTCCCTGTACAAAATAGCTAAACATACAGAACCCTAACTATATCGCTTGGTTCTACGTAAATTAGTCAATAACTGTAAATACATGAGGTGTATTTTGTTACCTATTTTCTCAGGCATCAAAACACCTCCGATTAACCCTAATATATATGCCCTAGCATGGACATGTAGTTAGTCCTCTAATGGTTCCTCTAGTAGTGATCAATCGAACATTATGGGTCTAATGATCGGATGACCATCCACTCGTAGTCCAAGTTGTAGTGCAACATCTTCTAATGTGATGCTACATTCACCTATGGGTAAATGAAATATATGTGTTTCAGGTCTCTATCTCTCCACTAAAATTGTGACTAGACCGTAGTCAACTTTTAGATGTCTTAATCTTGCCACTCCCCCAAAGCCAACTTCCTCCAATATAGGAACAATTAAAGGGTGTGGCTCCGACATCGAGTGACAGTATAAAGACATAATATTATCATTAAGGCCTTGCAATAATAGAAAATTTAGGTAAACATAGTCAAATATAATTAATGTAATTAGTCAACAAATACGAGCATATAAATAATATGAATATAAGAATATTACTATTGTTCTTATGGAGGCAGATGTATTCTCAGCTTGTATCCACAACAACATTTTCGATGATTGTAGTTTCTTTTTTTCAAATACACAAAATACAATTAAAATTAGTAATATTTTTCTAAATGTGTTGCAAACGAGAAGCTGCAAATGACACTATATATAAAGACAAGTGTGCACAATTTGTATGCCTTACGAGTTGTGTCACCTAGGACAGTGTGTGTCAGAGCGTGATACAGAGGAATCTTATCATGAATAGTGTGACCTTTATGTTATGACTTGGACCATAGGATGAGGTGGAGTTGGTCTTGACCGTTAATGTATGACGATTTGATCTTAACCGTTATTTTTTACTATCACCTACGATATTCTGTGTCAGGTCACTTCATGTGAGCTCTGCACCATGTGTGTGCCAGGTCACTCCTTGGTCAGTGTGTGCCACATCATTGTCTCGACCTATTGGTAATTTTATTGTTAGACTAAATGAAGCTTGGTGTGATTATGGGAAGTTCCAAAAACTTCATCTATCATGTTCCCATGTGGTTCCAAAGTGCAAACATTCACCATGATTATGAGATGTACATCAATCATATTTATAGGTTAGATGTAGTAAAAAAAGTGTATGACAATTTATTTGGGGAGCTTAGGCACAAAAATTATTGGTCATCACATCAAGGCCCACAACTTTGCCCAAACCCAACAACAAGAAGAAGTTCCAAGGGTCATCCGAAGTCAACACGAATTAGAACTGAAATAGATATCTGCAAAGGTCACCCAAAGAAATGCTCCTATTGTCACACTCCAGGTCAAACAAGAAATTATTGTCTACATAACCCTAGCCTTAGAGGATCAACTTCTCATAGATAAATATGTTGTAATTTTATAATATGACATTATAATCAATAAATAAATAATTATTCTATTCATTTATGATTTTCTAATTTGTTTATTCATATTTAATTAAATTAATATCTTAAATATCAATCACTTTAATTTAAATTTTATATCTTACTCAAATTATCTAATTCAAATATCTATTTATACATAATTTTAACAAAATATTTATGCCAAATATATTTTATATTGTATCAAAATTAAATAAAATTATTTTTTTATAAATATTATATTTATTTACTAAACATTTTTTTATTAAATAAATACTTAAATATTAATATATATATATATATATATATATATATATATATAAATAAAAGTATATACTCATATATTAAACATATAATTATATAATATATTTTTATTATATATAAAAAAATATATTTATATTTATTATATATAAAATATAAACAAATATTTTACATAAATAAATATGTATATTTAATATATATATATATATATATATATATATATATTTAATAACTATATCTATATCTATATCTATTACAAATATTCATATATTTCTATGGAAAAAATAGAAAATTATAATTTGTATTTCCTAAAAATATTTTATATTAAATAAATACTACATTATATATATATATATATATATATAATTTAATAAAGTTGTTATGTATATAAAAAATGTATTTATTAAATATTTAAATATATATATATATATTATATTTAATAAAGTTATAATGTATATAACAAAATATAAATATGTATTTACCATATTTATAAAAAAATATAAATATATTAAAATATAATAAAATATTTATATATTTCTATAAAAAAATATTATTTTTACTTACTAAAATTATTTTATATTAAAAATATATTTAAATAATATATATAATTTATTTATGTAAAAATATTACGTAGAAATATATAATATATTTATTAAATTTTATTGCATTTATAAAAATATAAATAAATATTTAAATATTATATATATTAAATATATTTATATTTACTATATTTATAAGAATATTTTAATAATATAATTATATAAATATATTTTTATGTTATATAAAAATCATATTTATATTTATTTCATATATATATATATAAATAAAATTTTAAAAAATTTATATATATATATATACATATTTAATTTATATTTAATAAATGTTATTATATTTTAAAAGTTTTATTAATTTTTAAGGTCGGAATTCACCGTCCTCGATTCTCTGTGAGATTGGAAAAAAAAATATCAGTTAACAACACGATTTTATTATCTTTTAATGAGTTATGAAAAGTATGTTTAAAATATTTGTCAAACCGTATAAAAAATTTGCATCAATTCGAGTAAAGAGTTAATACATCTAATCAACATCTAAAAAATTAATATAATAATAAATATTATTATTATGTTGGCATGTTCGATTGTGAGACGAATATACTCAATATAACATTTCTGAAAAAACATATATGCCAAAATCTTAAAAATTCTTAATACTTTCATCCTCCATGCTTAATTTGAAATATCCTTTGTTTATCAAACATTGGTCTTATTTGTATGATCGGAGGCAGTTTTATGGAGATTCTGGACAGAACTAGTTGAATCACTCGAAGATGTTTTGGTCAGAGTTGATTCCACCATCATCTCCAATTATTTCATCAGGATAAAAAACAGGCTTTGGAGGCATTTCAAGACTTTCAACTTTTCCTTCCAGCATCTTTACAACCTTTTTCATCGAAGGACGATGATCTGGTTTTAATTGTATACACCAAAGTGCCACTGTGAACATTTTTTTCAGTAGAATCTTGTCCTCTTCGGACGCATCTTTCATGTCAATTTCCTTTTCTTCTTTAAATTGATCATAGATCCAAAAAGGGAAATAATGTTGACTTGAATGCTCTGCACGAGGATTTGAATTTCGCCTCCTACTTCCCATTTCCATCAAAAGCATTCCATAACTATAGACATCTGCCTTATATGACACTCCACCAATATTTTTATAAAACAATTCAGGAGCCATGTAACCTAGAGTTCCTCTCACTCCACTTAAAACAACAGATCTATCCTTTACATTATATAACTCTGCAAGTCCGAAATCTGAAATCTTTGGAATGAAACTATCATCTAGAAGAATGTTATGAGGCTTGATATCAAAATGTAGAATTTGGACATCGCAGTCTTGATGAAGATAGGTAATCCCACGAGCTATGCCAAGAGATATTTCATATGTTTTCTCATAGCTTAAAGGGACACTTCCTTCTTTAGAGAAAATGTATTTATCCAAAGAACCATTAGACATGTATTCGTATACTAGTGCACGTTTTTCTCCTTCAGCACAATATCCAATAAGACGAACAACATTCACATGATGTATTCTACCAATGGTAGCCACTTCACTCGTAAACTCTTGCCCATTAACTTTGGATTTCTTCAACATCTTTATTGCAACATCTGATCCACATCGAAGTTTTCCTTTATATACATAGCCAAAACCACCTTGACCCAATTTTTGTTTGAAATTTCTAGTCATTTTCTTGACTTCACTGTATTCGTACCTAACGGGGTTTAAACTGTTGTCTAGCAGAAAATTTTCAATATTTCCATACACTGAATGATGTCTTCGACGCCACCTATAGATAAACAGGACAAGCAAAAGTGTGACTCCAAATAGAATTCTGGTTCCCACAAATACTGATACGAATATTGGCAGAACATTTTCTCCAACAATTTCTCCTTTGTAATCCCACTCGCTTTTGTCGGGATATGTCGCAAAGTATTGTACTTCATTCTTGTCCCAGTGGCTCTCGCCATAACTTATTCTATGAACAAATCCTGCAGGTAAATTTCGTCGAATGATTAAGGAAATAAAACATGTTTTGGTCCAATCAGGAACTTTATTTAAATATGAAATAAAAGACAAGTTATAAGCTGAAGGTTAACAATGAGGGAAAAAGATAAATTTTAATACCCATTATAGCGTCAAAGACAAAACCTGCAAAAGAGCACAGCTTGTATTATACCAACTATAGCGTTAACACAAAAACTACATATATAAAAGAAGAAAACAGGATATAATAACATATCAAAACAAAAGAATACCAAATGCCCATTTCCCTAAAATTGATGCGTGATTTAAATTATTATAAATAGATAAATATTTATTAATGTTTTTATCAGCACTAGTGTTTTTTCTTTACCAGACAGGTGTACAAGAGCTGCCCAAACCCAAACCCTTTTAGAAGATAATTTATTCCTGCATAAAAGCTCATCCAACAACCACAAAAAAAGAAAAGAAAACCCAACACCCTAGCTACATGGAGAATAAAATCCTTGTTAACGAGTGTCTAACCAATATTTAGTAATATTCAAACCTTCATTCTTGCTTTTAGTTTAAATATAACCCATACTTAATAAGTGTGTTGCCCATCAAGAAATTCATAATCTTCCATATTATTTTTGAAATTATCATCTATTTTTCTCAATAAATCAGGGAACAAAATAACTTTGAAGTAATCAATACAATACTTGAGTTGAGAAAGCGATCATACCTACTGTATGGCCAGGAATTAGTCGTATATATTGAAGAATTATGAATGGAAGTCCTGGAACACAGAAATGGAAATTAACTAATTATAATGTTGTAATGAGCAAAGCTGAAACTGTGAGATTGTGTTTTCCAAAACAATATTTTTAAAACAACTCTTATAACAATTTAAATAAATTTATAAGAAATTGTTAGAAGAAAAAATCATCAGTTTTTCTTGAACTAATTTACAGCAGTATCATGTTTAAGGACTAAATTAGCAAAAATATCGTGTAATAAATTGAACATCAATATAGTAATATAAAGAATGCAGATTGAACTTATTCTGTTGGCAGACATAAGAATGTGTAGTCTTACCGCAGTTTTCGGATTCATATTCCCAGATATGGCAGTGCCCTTTGTATCCACACTCAACTCGTTCTGTGGTTTCGTTAATGAGAGAGCACGTGACTCCACTTCCGCAGTGATCCCTACAAATAACTGGTGCGAACCAAGATAACAAAAATCCGTTTCCCAAATATTGACGAATATCAGCATAGGAAAGGTTGGCGTGTGTCCATTCTGCGTCTGCAAAGGTTGCTACCTTTAAACGACACCCAACCTTAATGTCTCCCATGCGACTATATCGATTTTCATTCATCACAACAGCATACATATGACCTCTGGAATCACAGTCACTGGCCTCCACTTTAACATATAGAGGATCATCATCAGTTACTGGATTAGTACAGTTTAAGAACCCTATGCTTGGAGGCCACGAGTCCATTTCCCCCAATTCCGAATACAAATCCAAATAAACTAAGTCAGGAATATTCCTGAGATTGAAAAAACTAAAATTTCCTTTGTATAAGAAATAGCGAGGAATGGAGCAAGCACTGTCCTCTGCAACACCGGCATCAGTCAATCGGATCTGGTACTTATTGTAATCGATGTCGAGCACATGATATTTCCCTGAAAACAGAGTCAACACTGTGACGTTATTCACGCAATCTAATTCGTACCTTGGGAGACCGCACCCGCTTGGATCGTCTTTCAGTCGAAATGGATATTTTATACTGTGAATTTTTCCGCATGAGGAAGGAAGGCAAGTTGGGCGATGCTTGGCACTGCAAGCTTGTTGGCACAGCACAAGAGTGATAGCCACAAATGCAACCAGTGATTGTGCAGTAGAGGAGGAAGAGGGTAATAAATGCATCGTTGTTGTGTTCGTTATGCTGGAAATAGTGGTGGTTATATAATTCTTCAATCGTGTGTTGTAGGTGGAATCGCTCCTAGAAATTTTCTACAGCTCTGCGTTTCGGACACGGATGGGAATGAGTAGGGTAGTACACAGTAACTATATATACTCAAATTAATTAATTAATTGACAATATCTTAATTAAACAACAATTTATATATATCTTCTCTCAAGATAGCCTTTTAAGGATAAGAACAACAAAATGCAAGGTTGACTCGTTGACCTGGACCTGTTGCAGGTACAAACACTGGCTTTGATCAGTGTTTAACATTTGCAGTGTACAAAGACAACTGTGGCTGCAAAGGATTTCTATTCTAAAGCGCTTGCAAGACACACCACAATGTCTAATTTTCAGAAAATTTCTCTTCTATTTATGGTGTTGTTTCTCCAAGGGAAGCCTGTGATAAGCAAGAATCGGTGCAGGGACAAGTGTGGAGACATCCATATTCTATTTCCATTTTACCTCAAAAATAACAAACTGAATAACACCATGTATCCCCCTGGATTCGATTTGTTTTGCAACGAACGAGGTGAGACTGTGTTAGAGTTGCCTGCAGTTTCAATTAAATTATTTGTCGAAAGAATAGATTACAAGTCACAGCAAATCCAAATCTACGACCCAGAAAATTGCCTTGCCAAGGTGCTCTCACAACTCGGCAATTCATCTGTTTATCCATTCAAATTCAAACCACTTTATGGAGACGTACAAAAGTCAAACGCTTCCGTCTTCCTTTGCAATTCAACGTCGTGCCCTATTGTGAAACCATCTTACAGGTTCTTGATTAATCCCGACATTATATCATGCACCAAGGTGAAAGATATTTTGTCTGTTGAGTGGTTCTATCAGGAGGATCTTCGTGGATATTATGATGAGTTTATCTCGATTATGGAATGGTCCAAACCCAACTGTAGTCATTGTGAAGCACAAGGGCAGATGTGCAAATGGAAGAACGGTACCCTAGGTCAAACTGAATGTTTCATTTGCCCCACAAACACCATTCCAACATTAATTATTATAACAATTGCTTCAGGTATGCAACATCCTTGATTGTCCTTTCCCTTTTCTTTTACTCAGTTTTTAATCACTGCTCGCACAATTAACGTCTTAATATCGTGCTTCTAAAGTTTTTAGTTACCACAATAGTCTCTGCATTTCGACATCTCGCTATTCTATTAGGTATCTTGTCTAATGGATTAACACTTTCACGAACAGGGATAATAGTTGGTTTGATACTTTTGCTGCTACTGGTGAAGGCATCGTTTCATGTGTTTGACTATTATGAGAAGAAAGGAGAAGACCAGGCTCGAATAGAGAAATTCTTGGAGGATTACAGGGCAATGAAGCCTACCAGATTCACCTACGCTGACATTAAGAGAATCACAAATGGGTTTAGTGAAAGTCTAGGAGAAGGAGCTCATGGAGCCGTGTTCAAAGGAATGCTCTCCCGAGAAATTCTCGTTGCTGTGAAGAAACTCAACGACACATTGGGAGATGGGAAGGATTTCATAAACGAAGTGGGAACCATGGGCAAAATTCATCACGTCAACATTGTTCGCTTGCTTGGATTCTGTGCGGATGAGTTCCACCGTGCTCTTGTCTACGATTTCTTTCCAAACGGGTCATTGCAGAGATTCCTGGCTCCACCGGACAACAAGGATGTTTTCCTTGGTTGGGAGAAGTTGCAACAAATTGCTCTTGGTGTTGCCAGAGGAATTGAGTATCTCCACCTTGGCTGTGATCATAGAATACTTCACTTTGACATCAACCCTCACAATGTTTTGCTAGATGACAACTTCGTCCCAAAAATCACTGATTTTGGACTTTCCAAGTTGTGTCCCAAAAATCAGAGCATAGTGTCTATGACTGCAGCCAGGGGAACCTTGGGCTACATTGCCCCGGAAGTTTTCTCAAGAAAATTTGGGAATGTGTCTTACAAGTCTGACATCTATAGTTATGGAATGTTGCTGCTGGAAATGGTTGGAGGAAGAAAGAATATGTGTCGGTTGAGGACAGTTTCCAAGTTTTGTACCCAGAGTGGATCCATAATTTGTTGGAAGGCAGAGACATGCACATTAACATTGAGGATGAGGAAGATGTTAAAATTGCGAAGAAACTTGCCACTGTAGGACTTTGGTGCATTCAATGGAACCCAGTGGATCGTCCATCAATAAAAATTGTGATACAAATGCTTGAAGGGGATGGAGATGAGTTAGTAGCACCACCTCCTCTTTTTGACATCTCTTCTTCTACAAAATATGTCCTTGTTCCAGCAAGACATCAGAATTTTGAATTGGAAGTTATTCATGAAATAGAAGAGTAAAAGTTTCCTTCCCATGTTATTTATAGGATTTGTAAAATTATAGTTTACTTATTACATATGTAAGCTTTATACTTGTTTATTGTTTCTTACATCATGTTTATGCTATCAATGAAAGAGTGTTACCAAAAAAGTAAAAATAAAAAATACTCTTTCATTTCTTATTATTTATTATAAAAACTAATTTATTGTCTTTAAATTTAAATTAAAAATATCATGTGTTGGATGGGTGTTTGATACATTGAGGGTATGTATGCAGTATTTTTCTTATTGAAACTGCGCATTCCTAAGAAGTATAAAGACACGTTGGTACTCACTTCTCTAATTGGTTAACAATAATTTCGGTAACAATTATAAACTCTCTTTGTTTTTCTTATTTGCTCATAACCTTTCAGACATTTTCTCTCAAAATTTTACTTGACGTTGGAGGACATGGACGTTGATGTAATACCGAAAAGTTCTATTCGAACTCAAACTTTCCTTCTTACACACGGTTATTCTTATTTGTTAACATAGTTGAAAGGTAACTCAAGATTCCTTTAATGAATGCATGAATTAAGACATGATAAAGGATCAAGAAAAAGACTTAAGGTTAGAATAAGAATTTCATATTTTTAAGTCAATGAGTCTTCTTCCTCAACTCATTTATTGTCTTGATTTCGACTTTTTGGATTTGTCAATAATTGTAGTTTCTTCATCTTGTAATCTTCTTTTGCATTTTTTTATTTTCATTAATTATTCAATGAAATTGGTTGGAAATGATTTTTACTCTTAATTTTTTAATTAGGACTTTACTCTCCAATGAATGATTAGACTTGGTTTTGCAAATATTATTGCTAGAACTAGTAATATCCCTCCATGTTTGGTCAGAACTATCTCCACCATTTTGTCCAATTGTTTCATGCGGATAAAAAGAAGGTTTCGGAGGCATTTCATGACTTTTACCCTTTCCTTCTAGCATTTCTACAATCATTGAAGGATAATCATTTGGTTTCAGTTGTATGCACCAAAGTACAGTCATGAACATCTTTTTTACCAGAACCTTATCCTCTTCTAAGACACCTTCCATGTCAATATCTTTTTCTTCTTTAAACTGGTCATGGATCCCAGAGGGGGAGTAATGTTGACTTGAATGCTCTTTCGAGGATCTGAGTTTTTCCTCCTAGTTGTCATTTTTGTAGAACAATTTTGGGGCCATGTAACCAATGTCCCTTTTGTTGCAGTTAAAATAATGGACCCATCTTTCACTGAAAAGAGCTTTGCAAGTTCAAAATCTGAAACTATTGGAATAAAGTTATCGTCTAAAATAATATTATGAGGTTTTATATTAAAATGTAAAATTTGCACATTGAACCTGATGTAGATATGCAATCCCACCAGCTATTTCAAGATAAATTTCATATATTTTCTCATAATTCAAAGGGACACTTCTTTCTTTAAAGAAAATGTATTTATGGAATGATATGTGTCATAAACAAGAGCACGCCTTAATATCCAATAATTGATATCATGAACGTAGTATTTCCCTGAAACAGAGTTAACTCTGTCACTTTGTTCGCGCGATCTAGTTCGTTACTTGGGAGGCCGGAACCTTCGGGTTCGCCTTTAACAGTCGAAATGGAAATGTTATGTTGCGAATTTTCCGCGTGAAAAAGGAGAACCTGATGAAAGATGATGATGCTAGGCAAAACAAGCTCGTTGAAATATCTAATATAATCTTATAAAACTGACTCGAACTCGTATATATACTATTATATTATTATATTAGTCACTATTATATTGTTATATTATATTTTTAGTTACTATTATATTATTATATTATATTTTTAGTTAACATGAGATATCTCACCATGAGAACGATAGTCACATAGGCAAGCTTTGACTGAGAACTGGGGAGGAAGAAAGTAGTACACTCGTTGTTAACTCTGTTCCTTCAAGTTGAGAGGTTACGCTTGGACAACTATTTCAATTTTGGAATTGGTCAATCTCGTTCCGTGTCAAACTAATAAAGGATCATGACCTTTCAAAACAGTTGTCGCACGTTTTTTTTCCAACATTGGACTGTTTCTGGGTAGATTCCGATGAAGGTTTGTTTGTTTCTGTATAACCAAATCAATAAGGTGCATCACGTAATGTTTTCCAGTAATATTAATTTTTATTTTAATGTTAATAATATTAAGTACTAATATTTTGATCTTATATTAATCTTTCTCTGTTTTTTTGTGTGGATAAAGAAACATATACATAAATCTAAACCTATTGAACATAACCTTCAAAATGAATTATGTCAATTGTCAGCTGAGGAGAAAAGTGAAAACAATATAAAGAACAAAAGAAAAAATTGGACTGATATCACACTTATTTATTACATGAAAGTCTTGGAAGGCCATAATAGTCTACACCAATGAATAACTACTACCCAAAATGAATTTATCCAAGGACCAACCTTTGACATTAATCCAATAGTCTCATCAACATCACACTTATTTTGAGTTAGATAATTCGTGTCTTTGTCAATACTGTCTGGTGAATCATTGGTTGTGCTTTCACCAAGCTACCTATCAGAATAAGAGGAATTAGTGGATGATGCTTGGTCAGAGATAACATCATCATGTCTGTATGATTCATTTTTATAAAAGGAAGGCCTTGGAGGCAATTCAAGGTTTTCAATCTTCCCTTCAAGCATTTCCATTACCTTATTCATTGAAGGACGATCAGTTGGATTTAACTGAATACACCATAGGGCAACCAAAAACATCTTTTTAGCTAGAATATTGTCCTCTTCTGAAGCATCTTCTATATTAATATTTTTCTCTTCTTTAAATTGATCATAAATCCAAAAGGGAAAATAATGCTGACTTGAATGTTCTGCATGAGGATTTGAGTTCCTCCTCCTACTTGCCATTTCCATTAAAAGCATTCCAAAACTATATACATCAGCTTTATAAGTTACGCCACCCATATTTTTGTAAAACAACTCGGGAGCCATATAACCCAATGTTCCTCTTGCTGCAGTCATGTTGACAACGCCATCATTTACTGCATGTAGCTTTGCAAGTCCAAAATCTGAAACCTTTGGAACAAAGTTGGCATCTAAAAGAATATTGTGAGGCTTGATATCAAAATGCAGAATTTGCATATCACAACCTTGATGCAAATATGCAATCCCATCAGCTATACCAAGAGATATTTCATATATTTTCTCATAGCTTAAAAGGGTGCCCTTTTCACTGGAGAAAATATATTTATCCAATGACCCATTAGGCATATATTCATAAACTAGAGCACGCTTTTTTCTATCAACACAATATCCAATAAGACGCACCACATTTACATGATGTATGGTTCCAATGGTAGCTACTTCATTGATAAAATCTTGACCATTATCATTCGATTTGCTCAACATCTTTACTGCTACATCCAACCCACTTCCGAGTTTTCCTTTATATACAGCACCAAAGCCTCCCTGACCCAATTTCACTGTGAAACCTTTGGTCATTTTCTTGATTTCTTTGTATCCATACCTAATAGGATTTAGATTGTTGTCTAACAAAAAGTTTTCAATATTTTCATACATTGAGAAATGTCTTCGTCGCCACATATAGATAAGTAGACCAAGCAAAAGGGTGACTCCAAGTAGATATCTAACTACAATTAATATTGGTATAACATCTTGACCTATAAGATCAGCTCCAGTGCCATATGAGTCTGACAGCGCGAGTGATCGCTTGACATCTTTTATTCTTTGAGAAAATCCTGTGGAGGTTCACCAAAATAATAGGAAAACAAAGCTTGTTTAGTTTAATCAATAACTTAGTTCAAGTATCAAATGAAAAGCAAATTACATAGTGTAAGTTAATAATTGCATTGTATTACCTATTATAATGACTCTGAAATAACCTGCAAAAAGAAAAAGACTACTTATATAAATACAAGATATGATATACGTAACATCAAGAAAAAAAAAAGTACTCATTTTCCACAAAATTAATCTATCGTTTAAATATATATACACTCCACTATTTATTAATGTTTATGTCAATGCTTGTTTCAAGGTTCATTAAAACTAGCAAATTACTTAATAATTTTCCGACTATCAATCAAGAAACTGACATTGTTCTGAAGAAAAAGTGCTATTGTTAGAATTATCCTAATTTACGTAGTATTTCTATTCCTTAGTAAAAAAACATAATTGAATTAAACAATACGATACTTGAGGTGGAGAAAGTACAAGAGAACAAACTAATGGGATAGCGTGCTTACGTAGTGTTTCAGCAACCATTCGTGCCAGAGTTCCTAAAACAACAAAAAGCAAATATTAGTAAATTTTTACAATAAATTTTTGTTGTAAGTTTATATGAAAAAAAGGATAAGTGGTTTTTTAAATAAAAATTATAAGACATAGAACAACAAAAATGTAGTATAAAACAAATAATCTGATGGAAAAGATATAAATACATGAAAATTGTGACACAAATAACACTTGTCTATCCAAATCGGAAAAATCGACAAGTTCTTATAAATTTTGGAAGAAAAATGACACAATCATAACGAATCTCAGTCTCACAACACTTGTAAGAAGATAAATCTCGGTCTCACCACACTTGTAAGAAGATTAAAGTACAAACAGTGATAATTAACATATTTAGTTAAACACATAACTTATGTTTAACAATTAAACATGTTATTTGTTCTCTGTAGATGTTAATTAAATCCTTATGTATTATTAATTTAATATTATATATGTATTACAATCTTAATTTAGGTCTTACACATTGTTGTTTTGATCCCTCGCCAAATTAAAATCACATTCTAAACATAAAACCAGATTAAAATTATGCAAAATAATCAAATTTGAGGTGCGTACGAATAGAAAAAAGGTGATAGTAGGACATAGAAGAATGTATTCTCACCACAATGGTCCGAATCCGAGCCCAAGATATGGCAGCGTCCCCGTTGTCCACATTGAATTTGTTGCGTGGTTTTATTGATGGAGCAAATGTCCGTTCCTATTCCGCATTGATCCCTACAAATAAGTGGTAACCAAGACAACCAAAATCCGTCTTCCAGCAATTTGAGGATATCAGAATAGGAAACGTTTCTGTCATTTGTCTGGTTTGTATGGATAACGTTTCTGCTGTAGTTAAAGTTTGCACAGGTAGCAGTCTTCAAACGACACCCAACCTGGATGCCCATCAGTCTAAATGGCTCGTTGGAATCCAAAACAACATAGATATAGCCTCCCGAATCGCAACGACCGCCATTCACTTCCACATATCGAGGATCATCACTCACTCGATTACTACAGTTTAGAAACACTACAAATGGAGGAATTCTTGAATACGAAAAAGTTGGCGGATCCATTACGAAAGATTTAAAACCAGTACCAAATGAAGTGAAATTTGACGAAGATAAGAAATAACGAGGAAGGGAGCAAACAGTGTCCTCCACAATACCCGCATCAGTCAATCGGATCTGACGTCCCTTGTAATCGATATCCTGCACATAGAATTTCTCTGGAAACAGATTTAACACTGTCAAGTTGTTCACGCAGTCTAATTCGTAACTTGAAAGGCCACAACCATGTGGATCGGTTTTCAGTCGAAATGGATATGTTATATTGCGAATTTTTCCACACGAAGAAGGGGAACAGATTGGGTGATGCTTTGCATTGCAAGTTTGTTGGAATAGCAGAAGGATGGTGGCCAGAAAGGTAACTACTGATTGTGCGCAGCGGGAGCAAGAAGGTAAAACGGTCATTGTTACCTATGCTCAGCTGAAATTTAGAGCAAATGAATGCAATACTTCTTGATAGTTTATTTTATCAGTTATTCCGTGTTGAACAACTATAAATAAAGGATCTGTGCCTTTCAAAATGCTCCTCCTCTTCTTTGATTTATTTTCTAGTTTTACATTAAAAATTAAATTAAGTGTATTCTTATCCCACTGAAATAATTATGACAAAAAAAAATCTTATTTCATAATTATTTTTTAAATAAATTAAAAATAGTATATAACTTTTCTTTATTTTTTTTAAAATATCTTTACTGGAGTCAAGATAGGCGTCGACAATAATTCAAGATCATATTAAATCAAACCAACGGTACAGAGTCGAGTCAAGCATCCACAATAATTAAATACCATATCTTATCGAGCCAAAAAAAAAAAAAATTGAACGCAATGCCCACTTGGTCGTTTCTGGTGCAGACTTTAAAGAAAGCATCTTTAAGCTGCTTGTAAGATCTACCACCATACAATGCTCAATTTTCAGAAATTTTCTCTTGTATCATTCACGTTGGTGTTTCTGCTACTAAAGTCTGTCACAGGGAATAACCACTACACTCAGAAATGTGGACGCGTTCATATTCAATTTCCATTTTATCTCAAAAACAACAACTTGAATAACGCCTCGGACTTTCCACCGGGGTTCGATCTGTTATGCACCGAAAAACATGAGACTGTGCTGGAGCTTCCTGTTGTTCCAATCAAACTATTTGTCAAAAACATTGATTACAAATCTCAGCAAATTGAAATATATGACCCTGATAATTGCCTTCCCAATCAGCTCTTGAAACTCGGCAACGCATCCGTTTCTCCATTCCAAATCTGGTCACGAAATGATGGTCCTAACGGGTCTGCCATTGCCTTCTTCCGTTGCGACATGTCGTCGTGTCCTGTTTTGCTACTTCAATCTTACGCCGACGCTAATGACCCCCAAATATTATCCTGCACCAAAGTGAAAGACGTTCAGTCTGTCAAGTGGGGACTATCGTATTTATTTAACAATAAATTGTTGATAGCATGGTCGAAACCTAACTGTGGATCCTGTGAAGCAAAAGGCCAGAAATGTAAATGGAAGAATTATACCAAGGGGGAAACTGAATGTTTCGTTTGGTCAACAAACAGGATTTCCACATCAACTATTGTACTTATCACTGCGGGTATGAAATCTCCTTATTCCTCCCCTTCCCTTTTACTTCTACACGCTTTCAAATTTACAGTTTTGGAAAATTTAGTAATCACAACAACCAGAACAGTGACTGTAATTTAATCCTTGATCTTATATTGTTATTCATTTTGTCTATCATGTTTGTTCACCAACAGGAGGAATAGTTGGTTTGATGATTTTGCTGCTACTGGCGAAGGCATTGTTTCATGTGTATGACTATTATGAGAAGAAAGGAGAAGACCAGGCTCGGATAGAGAAATTCTTGGAGGATTACAGGGCAATGAAGCCTGCCAGATTCACTTACGCTGACATAAAGAGAATCACAAATGGGTTTAGCGAAAGTTTAGGAGAAGGAGCTCATGGAGCAGTGTTCAAAGGAATGCTCTCCCGAGAAATTCTCGTTGCTGTGAAGAAACTCAACGACACAATGGGAGATGGGAAGGATTTCATAAACGAAGTGGGAACCATGGGCAAAATTCATCACGTCAACATTGTTCGCTTGCTCGGATTCTGTGCGGATGAGTTCCACCGTGCTCTTGTCTACGATTTCTTTCCAAATGGGTCATTGCAGAGATTCCTGACTCCACCTGACAACAAGGATGTTTTCCTTGGTTGGGAGAAGTTGCAACAAATTGCTCTTGGTGTTGCCAGAGGGATTGAGTATCTCCACCTTGGCTGTGATCATAGAATACTTCACTTTGACATCAACCCTCACAATGTTTTGCTAGATGACAACTTCGTCCCAAAAATCACTGATTTTGGACTTTCCAAGTTGTGTCCCAAAAATCAGAGCATAGTGTCTATGACTGCAGCCAGGGGAACCTTGGGCTACATTGCCCCGGAAGTTTTCTCAAGAAACTTTGGGAATGTGTCTTACAAGTCTGACATCTATAGTTATGGAATGTTGCTGCTGGAAATGGTTGGAGGAAGAAAGAATACAAATCCGTCGGTTGAGGACAGTTTCCAAGTTTTGTACCCAGAGTGGATCCATAATTTGTTGGAAGGCAGAGACATGCACATTAACATTGAGGATGAGGGAGATGCTAAAATTGCGAAGAAACTAGCCATTGTAGGACTTTGGTGCATTCAATGGAACCCAGTGGACCGTCCATCAATAAAAACTGTGGTGCAAATGCTTGAAGGGGATGGAGATGAGTTAGTAGCACCACCTCCTCCTTTTGACATCTCTTCTTCCACAAAAAATGTCCTTGTTCCACCATCAAGACGTCAGAATTTTGAATTGGAAGTTATTCATGAAATAGAAGAGTAAATAATGGTTCTCACCTTTTAAGTTTCCTTCAAATGTTGTCAACACTTCATAGGAGAATTCTGAGATTTATGGCCACTTTTATTAGTTTACTTATTCTCGTATAAACTTGTATGCTTCTTATTGTTTCTCTCATCATGTTTCTGCGATTACACTCGTGATCAATTTTAGCAAGTTTCAACTTCTCCAAATATGAGATTTGCTGATTGATTTGCATCACACAATCTCTATTTTTGTGCTTCTTACTTGTTCTCACTAGGTAAATAAACGAGGTAATTTTGAAGAAAAAAAAATGAATTTCTTGTTAGAGAAATTATGTAATTCATATTCATAGTCACATGTAATGTTTTGTGGCTACTGAACTTATACTATATTTCATAATATTTATGGTCACATTTATTTCTATTAAATTTTATGAATCTTTAACTCTAGAGTTTTTCTCATCGAAATGAATATAATCCTATATATTTTATAGATATAATTTTTTTCAAATATTTCTAACGCATCTAAATAAATCATCATCACTAAACAGCACAACTGAAACACGTATGATAAACAAGGGTCACATATAACTGGCAAGAAAGTTCTACTCACCAACTATTTTAATGATATTTTTAATCTTTAACTACAAAATTAACGTAGTTCCTAATTCATTGAATAATATATTATTTGAACGAAAGACCTATATAGGAGTTAATGAAGTCGTTAATGTAAAAGTCAAAGTAACAATTTTAAATTTAGGAAATGGCATTTAAAAAAAGAAAAACAAAAAAAGTTTTTGATTATTCAACTCATAATAAATTTTGGATATGTGAGTGAGAAATCGATAAAATAATCGATAGACAGAAGAGAGAATATCGAGGATCATACGATTGGTTAAAAGATGATAAATCGGAAGGATGGTTGGAAGATACCTGGTGGCCACGAGATAGCATGAACGCATAAATCAAGAATAGGAATCGAGAATCGGAAAGGAGAGGAAAATTGATAGAAGTAATAGTGCAAAACCAAGGTTAAGGGAAATCGTGGTGGGTAACTGAAAATCGAGATCAAGGGAAAAAGATCATCATGCATATGGAACATAAGAGACTTTTTGCACATCGTGGCTAAGATTAGAAATCGAGGAGCGGTTAAATTGCACTTAGAACGTGGAAACATTTTTTTAGAAAAACCGTAAGCTAAAGTAAAAAATCAAAGAACGTGCACATGGAACGTGGTGATAGTTTTCTAACTGCTCTTGGGAGGTTATATTGAAAAATACCTATAAATAGAGCGAAGCATGAAGAAGAAAAGGAAATTGACACAGGCAACAAAAGCATAAGTGAAAAGTCTACCGGAGAACGACGAATCATGAAGTTTCTGACGATCTGGATTTCCATTCTCGTTGATTGTTTTTACCGCTTTCTTTACTTCCCTTGGTAACTTATTTTACATTGATCAATTTAAGTTCCTGTACTTTAAATTTTGTCATCTACCTTCGATGCAATATAAGATTCTGTACTTAGATTTTCCTGCATTTACTGTTCTTCCAATTTCAATTTCCTGTTATTTATATTCCTGCAATTTCAAATCCTTGCCATTTACATTTAATGCAATTTGAGGTTTTCTGCATTTTACATTTCTCTGCAATTTAATGTTCTGCCCTGCTTTTCGATTCGACACGTTTTACTGCTTCCTTTACTTCAAAGTTTCTTAGTAAAATACCAAAAAAATAGTGCTTTCGATTGTCAATCCACGTGCTAGGTCACGTCGTTAGTGTTTCTCGATACTATGGGATTTCCGATTCTCATACACATTTCGATTGAAAATCATTTGCTAGCCTAAGTAAAAAGAATCTACGTGGTTGAAATTTGGTTAGAACCACAGTTTCTGAGGAATCGAAATCGATCAAATTTTCACCAGAAACAAATTGGCGCGCCAGGTAGGGGTGGTAGTTGTGTCGAGGAGACACAACAAAATTGGTTAGTTTGAAAGTGTATGAGATTAAGAAGCGGACGAGTAGTAAGAAAGAGTCAAAACCCGCCAAATAATCATAGTAATAGTGAGACCCTAAACAGTTCATCAAACACTGGGGGGCAAGTTCACAATGGGAATATACCTGTGATATCGACGACTGTAAGTACATTGATGTCCGTAGGCACCGAACAAAGCCCAGGCACTTTAGCAAACACTCAGTTAGGATCTAGTACTGTAATGTCAAACAATATGCAAACCACGGGAAACCCCGTAACAACATATGCAGGTTCACATATGAGTGCTAGGCCACCTGGTTTTTCGTTTAATAATATGAATGGGGCCAGTACTTCTTCAATACAACGAAGTACGAGATTTAACTTAGGAATGCCCTAAAACTTAGGTATGCCTCAAAATTTCGGAGTACCCCCAAATTTAGGGGTATCTCAAAACTTGGTAACACCTCAAAATTCAGGGAGTGCACAGACTTTAGGGACACAACAGATGCCTCCAGTATCTAATCTAGATCACAGAGTAAATATGGATCAGGTGCGATATGCATTCAATAGAGATTATCACCGATCCAATCTCGAGACTATCGAAAACGCTGATAATGGAATTTCCAATAATTCATTAGAAGTGCTTCGGCAACAAATGGATGAAAGCAATTTCGAGATGGTTAACGTGTTATCACAACAATTGACTACAGTACTAAGCCCGTTAGTTCAAAACACTACCACTAGTTTCGAGATATTAGCAGACCAAATGTCACGTATCGGGGATGCATTGGTCATACCTCGACAAACGAGGGTCGAAAATAACGCCAATCAGAACAGTAACCAAAACGCTAATATCAATCCCCTTTATTTATTAAGGAGAAATCGAAACAATGATCAACATCAGCATGTGAAGAATGAATATCAGCATGTGAGGAATGATACTTACAGAAATGTGAAGGAGGGATTTCAAAACTTGTATAATCAAAATAACATGCAGTACAATCACATGCTAGGACAAATGATGAATCCCCAAGGAGTGGAATTAAGACCACCCAATCAACCATACTTTGTTTCTCCTTTTCCAAATATGATTCTCGAGACATAATTACTTCGAGGATACAAAATACCCAAATTCACCAAATTTGCTGGAGAAATTGGTGAATCCACTATCGAGCATGTAGCGCGATATCAAATCGAATGTGGGGACCTGGCGATGTGTGAGGAATTAAAAATGAAGTACTTTCCTAGTTCATTAACAAAGAATGCTTTCACTTGGTTTACTTCGTTGCCACCTAATTCGATATATAATTGGTTGCAACTGGAACGAAATTTTCATGAGCAATTCTTTAGGGGAGAGACTCAAGTAAGTCTTATCGATTTAATGAACATAAAGAGATATAATCATGAAAGCGTAGATGATTATTTGAATAGATTTAGACAAATAAAGTCGAGATGTTTTACTCAAATTCCCAAATTTGAATTAGTTAGAATGACCTCTGCAGGCTTAGAATTCTCGATTAGGAAAAAGTTAGTTAATTTACCGTTGAACGACATGGCTCAGCTAGCTGATAAAGTGAGAAGAATAGAACAAATCGAATATGAAAAACAAAGGTACAAGAAATTTGAGAAACCTACGAAGAAAGAAAGGGTAGCATATATAAATAATATATATGAAGAAAATCCCGGGATAGAAGTAGATATTAAAGAGTCTGTCGATGAGAAAGTAAATATAGCAGAGCTCAAAGTAGGAGCCCCGTATATCTGTAAATTGTTACAAAAAAATGAAGTAAAAGACAAAATGGCAAATCGCAGATATACTTTTGATGTAACAAAGGCAGATAAAATCTTCGATATTTTATTGAAAGATAAACAGATTAAGTTGAGTGATGATCACAAATTACCTTCTGCAGAACAAAGAAATGGTCGAAAATATTGTAAATTTCATAATATTTATGGACATTGGACTAATAATTGTATACATTTCAGGAACACGATCCAATATGCGATCGATCAAGGAAGATTGAAATTCGAGGAAATGTCAATGAAAGTGGATACGAGTCCATTTGAAGTTCAAGTAGGGTACGTCGAATCCCAAACGGGCATGACTGAGGATGTCTGATTATTAAATTCGGCCTTCATAGGTATGGTCGATGTTACTGAAGATATCGATCCCAGACATGTCAGAATCGACACATCAGAAGAAGACATAGAGTTCGACCTAAGTGAGTTCGAGAATGAATTCGAGAGAGAGATTTATCCTCGATCAGAAGATTCCCTCATTGGATTTTTAAATAGAAAGAAAGAGAAAGACGAAGGTGTGACATTATGTCCACGATGCAGTGCGGTGTTCGACAGATCGACTGCCAAAACCTTCAGGGCAAGACAGATCAAGAAAGTAGAGGATCAACATAAGAATTGCAATGATAAAGTGGATCAAACAGTCCAAACCACGGTTGGGGAGAGTCAGCAAAAATCTGTTGGTTCTGGCGCTAGTAGAAACCAGAAACAATGGGTTAGGAAAGAAATGTATTCTCCCCGGGAAGGAAGGGGCAGACTTCAAAATAATGATGTTTTCGACAGACTTTCATACGATGAGGGATCAAATAGCAGATTCCCCACATTCCAAAGGAGATTTCGAGGGAGGCCTTGGAGGAGAGGAGGAAGGATCCCTTACTGGGGAAGGATCAATAATTATAGGAACTTTGAAGAAAGTAATATACCGATGGGAGGTCAATATGTAAGAGACTTTATCGATGACAAAAACGAAGGTAGTTAGAATGAACATCAAATTGGAGTAATATCTATATTACCCGCGGAATACGTTAGCGAGTATGAGGAGTATCAAGGGCAAAATAACGTTGATCGAGAGGATGATTTCTATTCCGAAGACGTGAGGCCAAAAGTGACATGGGTAACACAAACATCATGCGAAGTACCCCCATAGAGATGCTGCTTTTATCGATCCCCCATCCGAGGAGATGAGGTTCCATTTGAAACCCTTATTACTAAACATCGAAATTCAAGGATAGAAGGTGAATAAGGTCCTGGTTG